GCCCCTAAATGCAGGAGTGGGGAGAGAGAGGGGGAAACTGGGGCAGACCGGAGCCTGCAGGCTGCTGATGAACACACCTGCTTAAAAAACATCCACGCAACCTGCCCAAACCCCCGCTGCAGGGAGCCCAAAGCTCAAAATTACTGCTATTTGCCTGTGCCCCATAAATAACTCCGAGCAGGTGAGCTGCGAGCATCACGAGCACTCAGATTCGAGTCCTGCATCACTGAGAGCGAGCTGTGGGATCCCCGGGGACATCCAAGGGGGCTTGTCTGGGGGATTCATAGAGAAAACCAGGGTTGCAAATGCCCCGGGCCAGATGTAATGCATCTCCAAGCCCCAAAGAGCAGCAAGGTAAAGGTTTCCTCAGTCTCTTCCCCCCTAATCCTTGCTTCCCTCTCAGTGGAACACCTGCCTTAGGCCTGGAGCATCCTTCCCGGAGCACCCTCCTGGCCCAGGGAGAGGAGGCAGCAGGCAGAGCTGACCTGAAGCTCCCCAAATCCCGCAGGAAACAAGGAGATGCCACACGCACCCCAAAACCCAGCTCCTACAGCCCAAGCCCTGGGTTCAGCACGGCCAGAAAACCCCAGGGAGTCCTGGCAGGCACCAAAGTTGTCTCCTCCTGGAGAAATACTTGGCATGGGCCTTCGGCAGAGGCTGGGCATGGAGACATGGACAGGCTGCCCTCTGCTCCCCCAAAAAAAGGAAAAGCCAAGCTGAGACCCAATCAGCTCCTCCAGAACCCATCTCTTACAGCACATCTGTCCCAGATCCTTCTGCTCTGCCCCTGCACCGAGCCTGGCAGGCTGCAAAAGCACAGCAGGTCCCAGACATTGCCCGGGCCAGGAAAGTGCCTCCCTCCAGGACTGCTCAGCACAAAGGCCACCAGGGCAGGGCACGGACCCAGCAAGCTTAAATGTTCCAAAAAATAGGGCTGCACCCACTTTGGACCCAATTCCTGCTGCAAGGGGCAACGCCGTGGCAGCCAGGATGGGTGCTCACAGCTTGAGCTGCCTCCAGGACACCAAAATCATCATCTGAGCATCTCTGCACCTCCTTCCACCCGCACAGCCTCGGGCAGTGCCCGCCTCCCCCTCGCTGCCTTGCTCTGGGGTGGCTGCTCCGTGCAGACAAGAGCTGCCCAGAACAAAGCTGGATTGAATTAGGGACCTTTCGGATGGTCTCTGCAGCAGCCAAAACCTCAGGGATGGGGAGGGACGGGGAGGCTTTGGGGAGGCAGAGCCCTTGGTCCCCAGGGAGCAGCAGCACACAAGGCACAGCGGGCGAGCTGTGGCTGGTTCACAGGGGAAAAAGCCTGCGCCCTGTTGCACAAAGCGGAGCCATCCCAGCACCACCAGCTTGTTTGCCCACTGTGCCAGCAGCAAGGGGGTGCTGCAGCCCCGTACCCCCTCCTCTGGGGCCCCCCACTCTTCCCCAGCCATCCCATGCACTAGTGGGGGCTGGCATTGCCACTCGCCCCCCTGTGCCCCACTCTGATGTTGTCCTCCCACCCTCAGCCATGCCCATGGGATGGAGCTGACGCTGCCATGGGACAGCCCAGGGGGCAAGGATGGGGCTGCTCCTCCTGTCCCCAGGGGTAACCCCAAGGGAGACGCTGCCCCTTGGGTCTGCGAGCAGGTGAAGCCCCAAATTCCTCCATCCCTCAATGCCCCGTGATGATCCATCTCCTCTTGGGCTGTTCTGAACTTGTCCCGTCTGTCTGAAGGCACCTATGGGCTGCACAGACACCCTACAGCTCTACCCACTGGGGGCATTTTACCCTAAATAAGCCATTCTCCCCAGTGAATTCGGATAACGGAGCGAGGCACCCGGGCTTTCCACGCAGGGGACACCTCCCCACCTGGAGGGAGCCCAGGGGGTGACACACGCAGGCCACCGCCACCGCCGCCACCTTCCTGGCAGCCCCTCGGCAGTGCCATGGCAACAGCTGAGGAGTGGGGAGGCCCAGATGGCAAACTCCTCCATCCCTCCTTCCCCACGCGCCGTGCCGGAGCACGCACGCCCTGCCCACGCCGCCAGGAGAGGTGGCTCCCCGGCACGCGGCACCGCAGGCGAGCCCGGCCTCCTCTGGGGCCCCGATGGGGAAATATGGCCTGGGTAGGTGGCACCAGCCCCGTGGGGCACAGCTGGGAGAAAAGAAGCTGCAGGAATCGGAGTCGAGGCCCTCCGGCACCCAGAGGTGGGGCAGCACGCCAAGGGCACCCGTGGGCAGGGCCACGGGCTGGGTGCCTCCTGTCCTCCTTGCTGTGGTGGTGCCTGGGTTTTTTTCTGGCATGGAGATGGTAAAAATAACCCACAGCTCCTGGTGGGGGATGTATCGGGGTGGGGGGGTCATGCCCTGCACTGGGTGTGAGGTGGGTGCACCCCCTGAGGTGGACCCTTGCCAAGCTGAGCCCATATTTTGGACATAAATACGGCCCTGCTTGGCCCCTCCGTGTCCCATCTTTCTGTTCACCAGCAGCAGAGGGTGGAGCAGAGCCCCCCACCCCTCCCAAACCCTCCCAGGCCCCGAGCATCACCTCCCCCAGCTGTGGGGATGGGGCTAAGCCCCCCTGCTCACCCCCCAGCCCCACACACAGAGGCACCTCTGCCCACTTGCTGCCCACAAACGAGGCAAGCCGCCTAACGAAGCCGAGCCACCGGCGAGCGTGGCAAGCAGGGGAAACACCACGCAGTGCCGAGCTGAATCAGACCCATCTGCTGGAGTGATTCAGCGGCGGCCAGGCTGGGTTCGAGGCGCCGTCGCCCCAGCACTCGCTGATGGCCAGCGAGGAGAGGCCAAACATCGAGCATGGAGGGTGCTGGACCCGATGCCAGCCATGTAAGAGCATGAACCTGGTTCAGCCTGGCTCTGGGGGACTCCTCCTTCGCTAGGAAGCAGCCTCGCCACCCAAAACATCCCCCTGCTCCATCAGCATCCCGCACAAACCACCGCCACCTCCCCAGGAAACGCAGACCTCCTGGGGAAAGTTGGCACTCGTGTTCAGTCTGGGCCTCTCGTGGCATTTCGGGGCTCACCTCAGTCCTGGTCCCAGGCCCAGACCTAGGGGGAAGGTGTGGGGCCAGCAGCAGAGCAGGGGGGAGCTGGAGGGGGAGCAGAGATGCAGCCAGCAAAACCCAGCACCCTGCCCTCACCCCCAGCTACCAGCAGCTCCTCTCCAGAAAAAAAAAAATAAAATGCCCAGCATCTCTGGTTCTGGAGTTGGGTCTTTTTCTTCTTTTCTCCTTTTTTACAGTCTGCTTATCAGCATTTTCCAGTGTCAAAGCAGTAAAGGCATTTTCTGGGCACAAAGGGCTCACGCAATAACACCTCTCGCAGCAGTTCAGACCCGTGTGGGCACCCGACAACACGCACTCGCTGCCGAGCCTTCCCGGCCCCGGCCACCCCACAACGGGTTAAAACCGAACCACAACAAACAGCGAGCACAGGGGAAAAAATAAATAAATAAAATAAATAAATAAATAAATAAATAAAACACCGTGAGTTTCTCCGACTTCCCTAAGCATCACCCACGTCCCTCCGGCAGCGCAGAGGAAAACGCTCCGGCCCCGCGGCGCTGGATAAATGTGGGGTGTTTGGAAGGTTTTGGTAGCTCCACGGTGGCTTTCCCCATTCCTGTGGGGTGGGCACAGAGGGGTTTGTTGGCCAGGGTGAGTGGTTGTGTGCTGCAAACCTGCCTGGGCACTGCATGGACCCGTGAGGCAGCGGGGAAAGCGGCTCCAGTCATCTTTCCCCAGCAAAGGTGACGAGCAGAGCTGCGAAAGAAGCACTGCAATTACTCCATGGCTCTGCTGCAATTGCTCTGTGACCAAATAAACCAGCCTGGGGACCCGGCAGAGCACCCTCCCTCCACGCAGCCGTGCGATCGGGGTGAAAAATAAATAACGAGCCCTCCATTAGTCATCCCGAACCTTGCTGCATTTAACTGCCAGAATAAAGGATTCCACCTCTTCGCTGCTCAACTCCCACTGGCAACTTGCTCTGGGGGCTACATTTCCCTAAATGCTCACATTTCAATTAGCATTAGAATAATGAAATGGCTCGGAGTTCATCTCACCCAAAAATGTACTGGAAAATAAAGAGCCGAGATTGGAAGCGATGAGGGCTTTTCACGCAGGCACACACGCACACACACGCAGCAGGATGGATCCAGGAGGAGGAAATCTATTCCTTTCTCGACTCCACGCTGATGAGATTAACATGGGCTTTGCTAACTGCCTCTCCAAACAAGGATAATGCAACTTCAAGTTGATTTTCCAGATAAACAAGCATGCAAACAAACGCAAAGTGCTCAACTAAAAATATCTCCCGGCTCCGACGCTTCTCCCCACCACCACCCCGAGAGGAAAACACACAAACCCTGTCACAGCTCCACGGCGAGCCGCAAAATTATGACAACGCGAGTTAAATTAGCTACTTCAGGGACATCGTGCTCTGCCCTATTCCCACCCCCCCAACATACCCCTCACGGAGGCGAAACCGCAGATTCCCCACATACACCCAGGCAGGGCAGAGAAGGGAACATTTGCTCTTGTGGGATGAAAAAATGACACTAATCAGCTCCAAAGTCTGGGAAAAAAAGAGCGAGCAGCTCGGAACTCGCTTTTCTTGCCCGATTTGGGTATGTGTGGCTGTGTGTGGCTCTGGCCGGGGTGTTCTCCCCCCTCCCTTGGCAGAAGCAAACAGTTAAAGGCGGCAGCAGCTTCAGCATCCTCGCCTGCTGCTCTCTCCTGCTAAGGAACCAAACCTCATTGACTTTATTCCTTTTAAGCTCCGGCCAAACTGTTGCTGGGCTTTTCTTTTTTTTTTTGTTTTTTTTTTTTTTCCTCCTTTTCTTTCGGATGAAGGAAGGGAAAAGCCCGATCCTCGTCTCCTCCGCAGGCTGAGCTGGGGCGAGCGGAGCCAGGCAGCACCCGGGGCACCTGAGCCCAGCACCCGCAGCCCAGCCCCGCGCCCTGCCGCCGGGGAGCCCACTTACATCGAAGTGATGTTCCTTGAGATGTCCGTGATGTTGATGCTCGTGTTGCCATTGCTGCTGCCTGAATCCTGCCCTTCCAAGAGAGGGAAGAGGTTCCCATCATCCAGCTTCTTGCAATTGATGTCTGTCTTGCTGCAAAGACAATTAGCAGGGCAAGCCAGCACCGAAAGCAGATAGTCTCCCCAAATGCTCCAGAGCAAAAATACCCTCCAGAAAGTGCACTTGGTAGGGCAAAGAGAGACATCCATCTCCGATTGCTGCTGCTAAAAAAGAGGAGGAGGAGGAAAGGGGGGATGGAGGGAGGGGAAGGGGGGGAAAGGGGGGAAGGAAACAAAGACGGAGGGAGGCAAAAAAAAAAAAAAAAAAAAAAAAAAAAAACGCACAACAACAAAAAAACCTCAAGCGATCAGATGCAAAAATCCTCCAGCAGATGAAATCATGCTGGCAGCTGGCTCGGAGAGGCTGTAATTCCCGCTAGGGCAGCGGCAGCGGGCGGGGATGCATGCTGGCCCGGCCGCCCGCCCGCCGCTCCGGAGGATCGCAACGGAGGCTGGGGAGGCAGCCGGGGAAATAAATAAATAAGGCAAACGGTGCGAAAGTCACCAAGTCCCACCTACTGGGCAGAATTAAAATTGACACACCTGCAAAAAAAAAAAAAAAAAAAAAAAAAAAGAGGGGGGAAAAAAAAAAACAACACAGCCCCACACACACGCACGGACGAGGAGGGAGAGGAGGCTGGGGAGAGGAGGGGGCGACCCCCCCTTCCCATCGCTTCCCTCCCCCGGCCTGGGCAGCCCTGCTGCAGCGGGCACCAAAAAAAAAAAAAAATAGCAGGGGGAGGAGGAGGAGGAGGAGGAAGAGGAGGAGGAAGGCTTGCAAAGCGAGCCGGGCTCTGCGCGCTTCCCTCTCCGCAATAAAAAGGATTCCCCACCCCCCTCCCTCTCCGCCAAAATCAAGGCAGGGGAAGGGGGGGGGGGAGAAAGGGGAAAATCCCACCCCAGCAGGGCTGGAGCCCCAGCCAGAGGAGGAAAAGTTGCAGCTGGGGTTAAATTTGTGCCGGGGATGGGGGGGGTGGGGGGGAGCCGAGGGGCTCTGGCTCGGCTCCTGCTTTCTCAGGCTCTTTGGGAGGACGATGCTGCCTTGCGCTCGGTCCTTGGGTGTCTGCGGCCCCCCCAACCCGGACAGATGGGTGGAGGGGAAAGGAAGACTGGGCTGAACTGGAAGAGCGTAAAAGCCAGTGTGGATTACAGCAATTTTTTTAAATATTTATTTATTTCTTTATTTATTTTCTTTAGAAGATCCTAGCGAGAGGCTGATCAGACGGCTGGGTGGGAAAAAAAAAAAAAAAAAGAAAAAAAAAAAAGCGGCTGGAGAGCACCCAGGAAGGACTTTCTAGAAAACACAGACACACACACACCCCTCCGAAAGGCAGCGGGGGCTCGGTCGGGTGCCCGAGGTGCGGGCACAGCACCCAGGGCCGGGGGGCTCCCATCCTCCCTCCCCTGCTTCCCTCCTGCAGCAGATTCTGCAATCAGACATGCAAAAAAAAAAAAAAAAAAAAAAAAAAAAAATCCTGAAAGAGGAAGACTGAAGTGTTGAAAAGGCTGAGCTCAGAGTGCCGAAATGGCATCAGGAGAGCAGTGAGTGCGAGCTGAACAGCAGAGCAAATTAAGATGCATGGTGCATTTTTGGCAAGCACAAACCCAAGCAGATCAGAGCGCTGCTTAATTTGCTCGGCTTTTCTACAGCGCTTTTCTGCATGCCTTTTTTTTTTTTTTTTTTTTTTTCCCCCAATAGTTTCATGTCTCTGCTCCTCTGCACAGAGGCACGGCGCTAAGGGGACGGGAGAAGGGAGGAATTACAGGTGGAGGGCTCCAAATATTTCCAGGGTCTGCCTCTGCCAGGCTGCACGCCGGGAGGGGAGGCAGGCAAATCTCCGCGGGGGGCTCAGCCAGCACCTCCGGGCTCTGCTCTGCACCCCGAGCCATCCTAGTCTGGTTGACGAAGCAATAGGATTTGGAAGGAAAAAATAAAAGAAAGAAGGAAATAAAAGAGAAAAACTAATAAGGAAATGCAGGGGGGATTTGTCCACCCCCAGCCATGCCCACAGGAGCTGGTCCCAGCAGGGCTCGCGTGCTCCCCGATTGCACACCCCCATGTCACAGCCCTGGGAATGCCCATGTGGGGCACAAGGGATCAATCCTGCTCCTGGGGGGAACAGCAGCTTTATGGGGTGCCCCATGGGGAGCAAGGCACCCATCCAGTGAATAAATAGCGAGGTCAGAGGGCTGGTTTCCTCCCCAGCCCCACCTGCTTGGAAATTACTGAAGCGAAACACCCAGGTCCCCATGGAGGAGCCTTTGGGGACACCCCCGTGCAGGCTGGGCAAGGGGCTCAGTCCCTTCTGCAGGAGGTCACGGGATGGGGATGAGGATGAGGAGGGACTGGAGGAAATGTTCCTTCTGCTCCTGGGCTGACCTGGGTGGGAACAGGAGGGAAGCAGCTGTGTGTGCTGCCAAGACCCCCCAGAAAAATCCTGTCCCCCCAAGTCTCGTGCTACCCCCAGAGCTCGTTCTGTGCTTCCCACCTCCCTCGCACAAACAAGGCTGAACATGGAGGAAGCAGGAGAGGTCTCCAGTCGTGTGCTGGGGGCTGTGCTGTCCTGGGAGAGATGCTGGAGCCCACCCGTGCCCTGATCCGCTGCCCCGTGCCAGGCAGACCCGCTGACGGGCAGGATTTGTGCCAAGGCACAGCTTCCTCTGCAGCGAGCAGATAAAGCCTCTGCTCGTGGATGAAATGTGGCCGGGCAAAGTGGGGGAATGGAGCAGACGCTCAGAGGAGGCACCGAAAAAGAGCTCTTGGGGGTTCACAGCTTGTGTTTGCCAAGCAAAACACCCTCGTCTTCCCCCAGATGGAAGGGGATGCTCGGCGAGGCCACCCCTTGCACACCTGGATCCCAAAGGGGCCGGGAGCAGCGGGGAGGTGCCGGCGGTGGGACCGTGCCACCCCTGCCTCCATCCCTCGCTCCTGCTCCTCTTGGAAGAGGGAGGCTGGAGCAGGGCGTGAGTGATGGGGCTGTCAGAGCACAGAGATGGTATCTCGAGCAGAGGCCTTGCCGTTATTGCTCTGAGGGATGCTGGCAAATTGCTCTTTCAAGAAGCATCCCCATGAAGGATGAAATCGGCGCCTCCTGCAAGAGCTCTCCCCCACGGGGACCAGGGAGGGCACACTGCAGCTCCTTCCCCCTGGCCTTGCGGTGCCCCCAGAAGCTCACCCCAGCCCAAACGGGCTGTTTTATTTGCATTTCTGCACTTCCCACCTCCAAAGCATCGCTCTCCAGGCTGGCTTTCCCTTTGGGATGAGCTTTCCTTCTGCCACCGCCATCCCCAGGTAAATGCCACGTCCCTGTGCCACGGCCACAAGGCACAGCTCTGCTCCAGGCAGCGGGCAGATGAAAGCAACGGTGCTGGGGGCAAGCCCACAAGGATCCCCGTGGTCCTCTCTGTGCTCAGTCATCACCACCCCACCGAAGCCTCCTGCCTCTGATCTCCATCCCTATCGATCTGGCAGCTCCACGCCGAGGCGCGCACCGCACTGCCTCTTACCAGAACAGCGCTCGCTTGAAATGATGAGCTGACGTTTTTCTGGCCCCCTCTCATCCAGAAGGACGTGCCCCTTTGCAGAGGTTTTGGAGATGGTATCGGTGCCGGGTGGGTGCTGAGGGGAGAGCCCCCAGCCCACTAAATTAATGCTGGGGGTGCTGCCAGCATTCAGGGGGTAAGGCATCCCTCCAGCACCACTGGCTTGGGGCTGCAGGAGGGAGACATCACCCCAATGGGGCCAAGAGGACTCTTGGCCAAGCCTCAGAAGTCCTGGGAGCATCAAAAGGTGCAGTCCTGAAGCAAATCCCCTCACTCCCACCACCCCGGGAGCAGCTCGGGGGCAGCTCTCATCCTGCACAGCGCCCAGCCTGGGAACACACAGGGGGATGCTCACGCCTGTGGGCACTGAGAGCAGTGTGACAAAGGGTTTGGTCTCCATGGGGACCTGTCCCCAGCAGGGTGGCAGCAGATTTAGGGGTCCCAGGAGCCGATGGAGCCATCGCAGCAGATGAACTCTCAGGGACTGTAAAGAAAGTATAGGAAAAAGTACCTAACCAGGACTGCGTGCCCATATAAACGGGAACAAGCATTTCAAGGGAAAACATATTCAGGGGAGGACGAAAGGAATAGCCCTGTCACAAAGATAACAAATATTGCTGTGCTTGCATTCATGGCTCCAACCTGAACCAGATTCCCACCTAGGAAGCTCCTGAATTAATGTGTCTGGAGAGGGGAAAGGTCTGCCCGTGGCTGTGATGTCTGGGGAGGACAACGGCAATGATCAAAGAGAAAAAAAGAAGGAAACAAGGGTCTTAGAAAGTGCAAGGGAAGCACAGGAGCATAATGCAGAGCAGATGATAGCTGCAGTCAGGACACCAAGGCAGCACGGCTGGGTGGACCTGGCTGGTCTCTCACCAGGAAGAAATTGGAGCAAATCCCAGGCAATGGGAAGGAATCACAGACAGCAAAGCTCCAGCATGGGGGCAGGCTGAAAATCCTGGGGGTCTGCTTGGAGAGGGGTGCTGGGGACACGGGGATGGGGCTGAGCACAGCTGAATGTGCACTTCTGCTCCCCCTGCTTCCTAATGTAAGAAAAGGCTGGCAAAATTAAAGCTGTTAGAAGGATAAAGAAGGCCTGGGAAACTCACTGACATGTGATATCGCCTCAGCAAGGAGCTGAGCGAGGCTCGGAAGAAGATCAAGGAGATCAGCATCGGAAAGCACTGAGGACGAGCCACCGCCGCAGCTCCGCCGAGCTCCCTGGGCACGCACCAAGCCTTGCTTTCTCCAAACCTCCCCATCACAGGTCCTGCAGAAGTCCCAGGACGGACGGGAGGCTGCGTGTGTGCTGGAAGCAGATAAGGAGAATTACGGTGCCGGCATTGTTCCGCTAATGACCTGCCATCTGCGTGTCTCACGGGTGCCCTGCATCCTCCGGCATCCAGGAGGGGCAGAGCTGGGATAACCCAGGAGCAGGACGTGGTGCTGGGTGCCAGGTAAAGCAGCACCTGGGTGGCGCTGGGTGCTGGCTCTGGGTGCTCAGGTTAAGTCACTGCTGACTGGAGAATCGGTTCCTCCTCGCCCTGGGTGCTCTTCCCCGCACACGCACACAGACGTGCTCCCAGCCCCTGCTCTGGGAATAAATCGAATCGCTTTACAAAAAGCTCCCCAGCCTGTTTGTCACTTCAGCTCCAACCAATTTGCCTTCAAAGGTGACTCCCTTGACTCCGGGAAGAGGTGCCAGAGTGGGCTGAAGCAGGGAAGAAGCTAAAATAACCGGCTCTTCACAAAACAATTTACCAAAACATTTTTCTGAGGGTGCTCTGCCAGAGAGATCTGGTGAAGATGCTGTTATCTGAGGCAGGGTAGGGAAGGCAGCTTCTGCCTCTGTCCAAGCCCTGATGGGGGAAGAAAACCCAGCCCCATGTCAGCATCCCGTGCCTTGATGTGCTTCCCAGTGCTGGGGAAAGGAGAGGTGATTGCAGATCTGTCGGGGAGATGGCTGTGGCCCCAAAAGGGCATCATTTCAAAAATCCCTGCTACCTCTCTCATCCCAAA